GAAACTATTAAAGCGTGTACTTCCTTTGGGATAAATCCAAAGTGGCTTTTTCCCTCCTACTGCTCCTGTCACCTGGATTCCATTTCTTCCAGCAAATTCTGAAGATTAAAGAAAGACACATGTTTGCCTTTGGGGTTATGGAATTTATGTGTTTTCAGGTTAGTTTGTCTTTGTGTAAAACATTAGAATTTATGTGTATGACCTGGATGTGAGGAACTGTATGGAGGAGCTTAAAAGCCATCCTATGTGATTGTGGTGGGGCATGCCTTATATATGTGCTGGTTCTTTGGCAGTTTATGTGAATATCCAGTGTTTTGGGGAGTTGTCTGTGTCTATCTGGAGGAAGAAAGGTTATGTGATATGTATCCTGAACCTGCAGTCAGGTGTGTGTGAATTCATAGCTTGTGTGGATTTTATCCACATATCTGAGGAGGCTGGATTGTGTCCTATGTCTTGCCAGGAATGACAAGACAAAGACACTGGTAAAAGTATTTACTAGACTTGAACTGATATAAAAATTTTAATGAGGAATCTAAGCCACAGACAGAATCACAGTGGACAAACCCCGTCCATGAGAGAACATAAAATTTAGGATATGTTGCTTTATCTAGTTAGGGCAGTTTAGTAGATTACTGCACAGGAATGGCAATCAGAATTCTACTCCTTGTACCCATTTAAAAGCCAGGTGTAGGTGTAATGGTGCATATCTATCATCCCAGATCTGTGGAGGTGGATGCAGCGGGAACACTGAAGTAGATGTTGAGGCATCCCGGCCTAATCAGCATGCCCCAGTGAGAGATCCTGTCTGAAATTCCAGGTAGGTAGCTCCTGAAGAATGGCACTCAAGGTTGATTTCTGGCCAACACACACCGGCACGTGTGCACGTACACATATATACCTTCACACACTCAGAAAACAACTTTGTTATGTAAGGGTTGGCTGGGAATCCTTAAGCATTTTTAGATACTGAATCAGCTCATCAAAGCTAGTGAGAAATCACCGGCTTCGGTCTTGAAAAGAATGGAAAATACATAGGACAGAACTCCACTCCTTTATTTCAGGTAACAATGGTGATTGTCAGACAATATATGATCTCTGGCAGTGGATCCAGTTCTAACTCTAATGCAATAAATGGCTTGCTGAAGCCCATTCTATATTGAAAGCTGCCTTGGTCAGCTTTGACTTGGTTATGGTGGCTTTAGAATTTTCTTGGTCCTCCCTCAACTGGATAATAGGAGAGACTTAGTGTATTTCCTAGGGGAGGCCTTACCAGCTCCAAGAAACAAATGAGAGTTGGGTGAACAGAAAGGGTAGATGGAGGAGGGGAGGATTGGAATTTGAGCATAAAACATAAATTGATAAAAAAATCAAAAAATAACAATCAGGTTATTATCATTTAATATCAGTGGACATAATATACTTATAAAAAGATACATGCTAACAGATTGCATATGAAAAGAGGATCTCTCCTTCTGTTGAAAACATGAAAAACAGCTCAGCACTAAAGACATTAACTACCTCATAGTAAAAGGTTTTGAAATAATTATCCAATCAAATTGACATAAGAAACATTATGGTACTGATGGATTGCCATTTGTCTGATTGAGGTCATGAGCTCCCACATGGTCACTTCAGCTGTTTCTGTGTGTTTCTGCAGCCTGGTATTGACCTATTTAACTCATCATTCTTCCCTTTCAGAAACTTCATTACAGGATTTCAGGTCATTGTTTAGCTTTGCCTGTATTCTTTTGCTTCCATCAGCTATAGGATGAAGACTCTATGAGGGCTTATAAGGTAGTCATCAATCATATTAGAGGGGAAGTGCATTTAAGGTAGCCTCTTAACTACTGCTTAGATTTTTAGTTTGGATTATCTTTATGAATCCCAGGACATTTGTCTAGTGCCATATTTCTCTTTAATCCTATAATTTATTCCTATATTAAGGTATGTCTTTTCTTATTCTCATCTATTCTTCCCCGGAATCAATATTCCTGATCTCTCATGTTCTCCTATCCCCTCCTTTTCTCCCCTTCTCTTTCTCCCACTTACCTCTTAATTCTTAATGCTCCCACATTATTTAGGAGACCTTGTGTCTCTCCCCTACTCTGAGGACCCATGTTTGTCTCTCAGGGTCCTCTTTGTTACTAGTTTCTCTGGATTTGTGGATTGTCGTCTAGTTATCACTTACTCTGTGTATAATATCCATACATTACTGAGCCTCGATAGTGAGGCTCTCTCTCTTTTTCTCATCATTGAGTCCTGTCAAATATTATACCTCTCAGGATCTCTGATGCTTTTGACGAATGTGTTGGAGTTTTACCAAATAATGTTTCTCAAATTTATGTTTTTCACATACCCAAAGATTCTTGTAAGATCCAGGGAACTGAATTGGACCCATATAAACAGTTCTAAACATTCACTCCAGTTAAATATTATCCTGCCACACTATGGTCCCATATTCCCTTCCTTTTCATCTGGGACCACTTCTTCTTTAACACCTCCCTCATCTGACCATCCACCCATATGATATCATGATTTCAGAAACATTGGATTTTTTAATATAAACTTAACCTCATCTCCCACACATCTGACATCTGGCAAGGTATATGTGGCCCCAGGGAGTGTCAAGCATCCTAGGCTGGGGCAGAACAACCAGCTAATGTAGGATGTGGTAGAACACCAACATTCTCAGGTCCCCTAAAGATGGCAAATGCCCCCTACATCAGCAAGAAGCAGAACTGAAAACTCGACATCCTTATTGCCTAAGCTGTAAATTCTAACACTCCAACTTCTGTCAATAATCAGTGAATGAAAGGTACAGTCATCAGGCTGGCCTGCCCAAACATCTGAGAGGATGCACTCAGGCCCTAATGTGGTCAGACCCGTCGTCAGTGGATACTAAGTCTGCAGGAAGGTGTAAATGTCCCCATTAAAAGACACACCCTGGCCCACTCATGCTCTCATATTCTATTTCTTTCTTTCTCTCTTACTTCTCCTTCCTCTCTGCTCTCTACTCTCTGCTCTCTGCTCTTCCTCTTACAGTCTTCATCACTTCTCCTGTCTCCCCAACTCTCCCTCTCCCACCCTGTCAGAAATTCTATGGTTCATGGACTCTCTATGGTTCACGTTCCATTGCTTAGGGTTCTGTCTCCATAGCGAGCTTACCTCTTCCATTTAAACAGTAAACCAACACTGGATCCATAAAAATCAGGGAGGCTCTCTCTTTGACCTCTCTCCCCACCCATGCTAGATTGAGCAGGGAAAACCCAGAGATAGTTTTGTCAAATGGAAAGACAATCCTTCAGATCCCTATAGTTCCCAAGGATGAGGTCCACCAACACATTCTCTGAGCAACATGTATGTTTCAGCTTTTACCTTTTGGCAGTTGCTTTCCACCACTTTTTGGACCCTGTGTTATCACTACTGTTCAGGCATTTTTTGATCCTCCCTTGGAAATGAGTTCAGGCTGACTCTTAGTTCTGAGATCTTAGGGACCAAGCCACTTTTGGCCTCACACATGGGAAATGCACCTGATGTTTAAGGGATCCTTCCAGTTCCTTCTACAGTGGAAAACAGTCCGACAGCTTTTGTGGATCAATGTCATATTCCCTAAGAAGAACAACAATGGATTAAGAAATGAAAAGATTCACATTATCCAACCAAAGGTGAGATTTCCATGGTTCGCTTCACCCAGGATTTTTAAAATTCAATTTCTTAGACTAGACTGAGGGATCATTGGACTGCAGCTTCTTGTTTGCACAAGATGATGTCAGCAGCAGAACAGAGATCATTAGGCAGAGACTGCATCATCCATGAGTATGTTGAGAGCCTGCACCTGTACCTGGTGTGCAATTGTCTTAGCCTACACTGAGCCTTGGTCTTTCTTTGTGTCCATCTGTCTGTCTATCTTTTCAGTCTCTCAATCTCTCTCTTTCACTCAATGTCTCTGTCTCTATGTATCTCTGTCTCTACTGTCTCTGTCTCTGTGTTTATATCTATGCAGCCAGGGTGGGAATCTGAATATCTACCTGATTTTCACTGGGCCTGCCTGCTACCCTGAGCCTTTCTCTTCCTCCCACCTCTCCCAATCTCTCTGTCTCCCTCTCACTCCCTCTCTTACTCTGTCTCTCTCTAATTCTGTCTTTAACTGTCTCTGTCTGCATGAGATACTCCAGTAATGCTCTCGGCCTCCACTGGGGCTTCATCTGTCTGTCTCTGTCTATGTCTCTGTCTTTCTTCCTCTGTCTGAATTTCATTGTAATCCACTGTCTCTCAGTCTCTCTGTCCGTCTTTCTTGCCTATGCAGCTTGGGTGAAATTGTCCAGCTGTAAGTGATCTGAACTGGTCTCCACCTAAACTGAGCCTTTGTCTGTCTGTCTGTCTGTCTCTCTGTCAGAGTACCGAACATCATGCTATACCGCTCAATGATGGCAATATTAATGTATTTTTTTATTGTCCCAAAGGTATCCTTGGCTTTCCAAAATGTGAATGCTTTCAGCAAAGTCACTTCTACCATAAAGTGGCTGCAGATGTGTCTCAAATTTATGTTTTGCCCAAACTCAAAGGATGGGTGTAACCTCCAGGAAGCTGAATTGGACAAATGCAAACAGTTCCAAATAATAACTCCAGATAAATAGTATTCAGCCTTTCCATGGTCCCAAACTCCCTTCCTCCTCATCTGGGACCAATCCATCAGGAAACCCTCTTTCACCTGACCATTCTCCCCTCTGATATGAGGACTTCAGAAACATTGTGTTTTTCCTAAACTTAACCACATTCCTACACTGCTTACATCTGTCAAGGTCTAGGAGGGCCCACACAGCCTGCACTGGGGCAGAGCAACCAGTTACTTCTGAATGTCATAGTACAACATTCTTGGGTCCTTCAAAGAAGTACAATGCCCCCAATATCAGAAGGAAGCAGTCTTGAGAACACCATATCCTTATTCCAAAACCTGCCCGTACACACATCCCAACTTTTAATAATCAGTGAAGGTGCGAATGAATGGTCATGGCATCAGGCTGGGCCGGATCAGGTCACCTGGCACGATACACTCTGGAGGTACGTTGGTCACACCAGGGTTCTTTGGGTGCTAATTCTGCACACAGGTTTATAGGACTCCTTTAAAAGACAGACCTTGAACCAATCATGCTTTCTTATTCCCTCTATCCCTCTCCCTCTCCCTTTCCCTCTCTCTAGCTCTCTCTCACTCTCCTTCTTACCTTCTGCTTCCTCTCTGTTCTCTGCTCTTCCTGTTACCCTCTTCATATCGTCTCCTGTCTCTCCCACTTTCCCTCGCCCACCCTTTCAGATACTCTGCAGTTTATGGACTCTATGGTTCTTGTTCCATTGCTCAGAATTCTGTCTCCATAGCGAGCTTTCCCCTTCCATGTAAAAAGACCAACACTGGAGCTGTGAAAACCAGGGAGGCTCTCTCTGTGACCTCTCTCCAAAGCCATGCTCATGTGTTGGGGAAACTGCAGAGTTCTTTTTCTCAGAAAAACGAAACAGTGAGACACACCTTCAGATCAGTATGATTCCCAAGGATGAGGTGACCTTTGTGTTTCAGCTTTAAGCCTGCTGCAGTTTCTTCCCACAGCTTTTTGGACCACTTTGTAGACTCGAATTTTTAGGCATTTTTTGTTCCTCCCTTGGCTGCAAGTTCAGTCTGACTCTGCCTTCTGAGATCATTGGTGCCTAGCCACCTTTGGCCTTGCCCATGGGAAGTACATTTTATGTTTAAGGATACTTCCTGTTTCTGTTACCATGGAAAAAACTGTTCAAAGACTTTTGTGGATGAATGTCATGTTCCCTTTGAAGTAAAACAGTAGACTAAGAAAATGAAAATAGTCACATTACCCAACTAAAGGTGAGTTTTCCATGGTTATCTTCTTCCAGCCATGTTTAAATTCCATTTCTTTAACAAGACTGAGGGATCATTGGACTGGAACTACTTGGTTGCAGGAGATGATGTCAGCAGCAGTACAGTGTTCATTAGGAAGAGACGGCATCCTTCATGAGTACAGTGGGATCCTGCAGCCTTCCTGGGTCTGCACTGGTCTCAGAAAACACTGACCCTTGGTCTGTCTCTCTGTGTGTCTGTATCTCTGTAGGTTTGCCACGTGTTTCAGGTAATCTATCATTCACTGACTCTTTGTGTATCTCTATTTCTCACTATCTCCATCTCTTTGTCTATGTCTCTGCAGCATGGGTGCGAGCATGCAATTCTGCCTGATTTGCACTGGGCCTGGTACACTGTGACTTCATCTTTCTCTCTCTCTCCTCTCTGTCTCTGTCTCTCTCTGTCTCTGTCTCTGTCTCTCTCTCTCTCTCTCTCTCTCTCTCTCTCTCTCTCTCTCTCTCTGTCTCTAATTGTCTCTATCTATGCATGTGATATCAAAGTCTTCAGTGATCAGCTGGAATGGTATATACTTAGATATATCCCACATGCTGCATTTCCCAATATAATTACAATCAGAATTTTCTTGTACATTTTTGTGAAGTTTTAAGACTTCCTGGTGCTTCACTCATATTTTTGGTGTGTTAGTTGCTGTAATTTTTAGCTTTTTTCGTCAAATTTTAATCAAATTAGAAACAGCAATGTTTTACATGTCCATTCCAGTTCCCTTTCCCTTCCTTCCTCCCCTGTGCTCCTCAAAAGTCCTATATAACCTATAATATTTTTCTACCCAGGGAGAATGAGGCCTTCAATGGGAAGACTTCAGAATATGTCATATCCTTTGGGATAGTGCCAAGGCCTTCCCCTGAATTCTAGACTGAGGGAAAATACACCTATGTTGAATGGGCTCCAAAAATCCATTCCTATGCTACGGATAAATACTGTTCTACCTAAAGAGGCCCAATAGATCCATGATGCCTCCTCACTGACACCCACATTCATGGGGTATGTATCATTTCCATACTGGTTTCCCATTGATCAGTCTGGGTGCCAAGAGCTCCCCCTTGTTCAGGTCAACTGTTTCTAAGGGATTAAACAGCCTGGTCTTTACCACTTTGGTCATCACTCTAACTACTCTGCAACGGGATTCCAGTTCAGTACAGTGTATTGCTGTGTTTGTCTGCTTCTACCTTCATGATCTGCTAGATGAAGGCTCTAAGATGGCACATAAGTTAATCATTAATCTCATTATCAGAGGAGTGCAATTAAGGTAGCCTCTTCATTATTGTTTAGATGGTTATATGTTGTCATCCTTGTAGATCACCAGAAATATCCCCAGTGTCTGATTTCTCTTTAGGCCTACACTGCCTTCCTCTCTGATGGTATCTCTTCTTTTGTTCTGCTCTATTCTTCCCCTTACACATCCAGAAGCTTCTGTAAGGCAGACAACATGGTCAGCAATACAAAATGGCAGACCAGAAAATGGGAAAAGATGTTCAGCAACCCCATATCCCACAAAGTGGTGATCTCCAAAATTTGCAAAGAACATATTAACCTAGATTTCAAAACACTAAATAACCTATTGCAACATTGGGGTAGGGAACTATATAGAGAATTCTCAAAAGAGGAATCTATAATGGAAGAAAGACACATAAAAAAGTGTACAACATTCTTAGCCATCAGGGAAATGCAAATGAAAAAAACTTTTTAAATTCTAATAAGGAAGTCATATTCATAAAATATTTTAATAATTGAAAGAACATTCAGGGATATAATGGAGGATTTTGGGACACACAAACGTATGGATGAGTATTATAATCACATAATAATCTAAAAATTGTACAAAAGTAACTTTTCAAAATAGAAGTATTAGGCCACAATAACCCAGACCATTTGAGATCCCAGGAAAGAGAGATTTTAGAGAGGCCAGTAACATTAAGCGACACTCGATGTGAATCCGTGTAGCTTGGATCTCAATGGTCTACTGAGAATATTTGAAGGGTACACAGAGAAGTTCATTACATGTACATTAACTCATAAAGAATCCTGGCTTGTTTTACTTTTGGAGTTTTGCACAACTGCCCTGAAATCTGCAATCTTCATGGTGGTCCCGTTTTTAAACCACCGTAGTGTTTAACCTCAATGCATGCTGATGTCTAATGATGTACAATGGGTATTGCTTTGGGGGGAGTAAAACATGTAAAGATAACTCAGTATTTCAGTATCATGGTGTTCCTCAGATCTATCATATTGGTTCAAAGAATTCCAGAATATGTGTATAGTGACAGATTCCTTGGCAAACTAGCCAAAATAGGTAACAACAAATATAGGATACAAAATTGACACCCATGCTCACATATACTCCTTTGTAAAAGCACAAATGTGATACTTTTCTCTAGATTCCCATAGATTTGTTTCTGGAATATATTTTATAACTCATTAATAAGTTTTCATTCTGTAAGTCATGAGCCTTCAAAAAGAGCTTGATTAATTTTGAGATTTTTGGTGAGATACCTGGAAAAAGTTTACCCCCTCTGTTGCAGGCAATATTATATATTCTCTCTATATAAACATGAGTCTGTGAAAACACTATTGTTGCCAAATGTCCTTGATTTATCTCGAGAACTTTGGAGGACTCAACAGGAGATTTTTTCTTGTCCAATATCTGAAAAGTTTACTTATTTCTGTATTTTGAGACAAGAGTCTTGTCTGGTCTCACTAAAAATTTGCTATCTATCCAGCAAATGGTAGTTTTAAATATTCAGATCATTGGACCATAACCTGTGGTAATCTCAGATTCTATTTAATTTACGTTGTTATGTATTTTGTGTAAGTGATCACATTGTTCACTCTTTCAGCTTGAATAGCTCTAATACCAGAATATCATCCTGCATTATAATATGGAACCATGATTTGGGGATGTCGTCTGAATTTTTTGATGTGTACATGGATTTCTCCTCTCTTTCCTTTTTCTTTTATTTATTTAGTCAAACACTAGCTTTTTTCCTCTCTTTCTCTCCTCCTGGGAGCACAGATATTTTATAGGAACATTTTTAATTATTAAATACAATTTTAGTTTATTTTTAAATTTTATGTTTCTAAAGATTTATTATCAGTTCAAATTAGAACAAGCTTGCTTCACCTGTCCATCATTCTCCCTTTCATTTCCCTCTCCCAACCCTCTGCCAGACTCCCACTTTATCCCCACTGCACATCAGAGTGGGCAAGGCCCTCCATGGGAGTTCCCCAAAGTCTTTCATATCATCCTGGGCCTGGCCTAGGCCATTGCCCATTTGTCCATGCTGAGAGTGCATCCCCCCTCTTGGGATGGACCCTCAAATTCGTTTCTTTTACCAAGAAAAATATGAAGCCACCTCCCAGGGCCCCATTGAGTGCTGAGGCCTCCTCTTTGACATCCAAGTTCATATTTATGGATCAGTCCTGTGCCAGCCTCACAGGCATCATTCAGGGTTCCATGTGCCCCCCCATTGTTCAGGTCATCTATTTTGTGCATTTCACCAGCCTGGTCCTGACCTGTTTGTTCTTCTTTTCTCACTCTCTGCAACTGGATTCCATAGTTCAGTTCAGTGTACACCTGTGGGTGTGTGCATCTGCTTCCATCAGCCTTTGGAAAGAGGGCTACAGAATGGCACATAAGGCAGTCAACATTTTTTTTGAGTTTTTCTTCCCAGACTGCTAAGTATTTTGAGCCCTTTCTTAAGTTTCTTTCAGCCACTTTATATTCCTCTGTTGAGAATTCTCTATTTAGTTCTTTACACCACTTTTTAATTTAATTGATTGGTGTTTTGTGGCTAAATTTTTGAGTTCATTGTATATTTTGAGTATCAGCCCTCTGTCAGATGTGGGGTTGGTGAAGAATTTTTCCTATTCTGTGCACTGTTGTTTTATCTTACTGACTGTTACCTTTGCCTTACAGAAGCTTCTCAGTTTAAGGAGGTTCCAATTATTAATTTCAGTTTTTAATGTCTTTGCTACTATAGTTATGCTCTGGAAGCATTCTCCTGTACCAATTCGTTCAAGGATATCTCCCACTTTCTCTTCTGGAAGGTTCAGTGTGGATACATTTATGTTGAAGTCTGTGATTCTTGTGGGCTTGGGTTTTGTGCCTGGTCCAAACCCTATCTTAAAGTGTTAGCTGTCC